TGGTCGGGAAGTGGGGTTGCAGTCTGGCAAACAGTAAATGCCTATGGAATGAATGGGTAACTAATGGGCTCTGGTCTGCTTGTGCCAGGGCCCATCAGATGACTGGAGCTGCAGTCCAGACCTACCTCCTAGAGAAAACTCGCGTGGCCTGCCAGGCCTCCAATGAGAGGAACTTCCACATCTTCTACCAGGTCTGTGCCAGGTGGGGCCCACAGCTGCCCAGATGCAGGGTGGAGATGGCCTGTGACTCTCAGCCCCTCCTTCTGCCCCCTGCCTGCCTCTTTAATCTGCTTCCAGTGGTGCCAACACTTATTCCAGCAAACTTTATGCAACACTGCCTCCCACTGGACCCAGGCTTCTGGGATGGTTTGGATGGGATGTGTGTTACCTCCTCTGTCAGACCAGACGGTGCCGGGGACTCTCCTTAGAATGGCACTGTTTCCTCCAAACAGAGCGAGGACTTCCCCAGAGCTGTGCCTCTTTCATCAGACGGGTGGTCCCCCAAAGCATGGATAGTGTGTCCCCGGCTCTCAGGTTGAGCCTGGGGCCTCCCCAAAGAGGAGTTGTGCCTTCCTCAAACATAGGCCTCCTCAGACGGTGTTTGGCACCGGGTTGCAGACATGAAAACTGGTTGCTGCTGCTTTTGCCCTGTGCCTACCCTGGGTGCTTTACAGTCTTGTGATGTCACTGCCATCTCTCACTCCTTTTATCTCGACCCCAGGTCTATATAGGCCTGGGCTTCCCTCGCACCCCCAGCTCAGCAACCTGTCCCCCTCCCACAGATCTGCAAAGGAGCCAGTGCAGATGAGAGGCTCCGGTGGCACCTCCCCGAGGGAGCCGCCTTCTCCTGGCTGCCCAACCCAGAGAGGACCTTGGAAGGTAGGGGGAGCCTTACCCAGCACCCACCCCCCTCTGCTCACAGCCTGCCTCTCTCACCCCTCACTGCCCCTGCTGACCTCTGGTCCTGACACTGGGCTGGGACTTGGGTTTCTTTTCAGAGGATTGTTTTGAGGTGACCAGAGAGGCCATGCTTCATCTTGGCATCGACACCCTCACCCAGAACAACATCTTTAAGGTCAGAAGGAAAGCCATGGCACTTACATTTGACAGAGGTCACTGGAAGCCTCCTC